GATCTCAGGGCAACTACGACTCGAGCAGGGTACCAGAGACGACGAAATAACAGTGGACCGAACGCAGCAAGCCGCAGCACGGGTAGAAAACCCTCGGCCTAATCCCCGCGCCGACATAGGGGCAAGCATCCACTTCGTCTCCCCCTTCGACGGTTGGGGGCTAGCGAGGCTGGCGATCGGAGACCTCCTGGCGAGAGTTTCCGCAAGCCAGCGGCTTCAATCCTCGGTTCTTGTTGAGATCAATGAAGACGCCGTCAACGCAGTTGAGCGAAGATGGCCCCAGCCAGCCGCCGCGGCATGCGACGGTGGCCCCGCGCATCGACGTCTGGGAGCGGACGTCTGGGACATTTTCCGAAGCCGCGGCGCCAGCACCCCTGGGAAATATGGCTGAGGAGCCTCGACCACAACAGCCTCCTTCTCATCGTAACCGGACCGCCATGCACCAACCTATCCTCAGCCAGCCAGTTTGGAGGGCTAGATGGCTTGGCGGGACCGCAGTCGGTGAACTTCTTCGCGGTCCCTCTAGTCTGGGCGCAGGCGCCCAGGGTCAGGCCTGACCTCAGAGTCGTAGTGCTGGTCGAGACCGTCGCCACGATGAACTCAGTACACAGACTAGCCATGTGCACAGCGATGGGTGGACTCCCAACCAAATTGGCGGTCAAGCTCAACGCAGCTAACGCCGTGGCGAGCCCCAGGGAAAGAGTTTGGATCAGCAACTGTCCCCCTCCCGAAGACACCATCACCTATCCGAGGCTCCCCTGCCCATGGGAGCGCCGATGGTCATTCAGACCAGACGGCAGGATCCCAACTTGGACAAAGTCAAGAGCAACTGCGTTGGATCTGGACTCGATCATACCCAGCAGCTACCAGACGCACCTACTCTGTCTGCTGCGCGACGAGGACAGCCGGCGCAGATGGTTTCTTCGCTCGCTGACCAACACCAAGAATGGCGTGAAGAGCATCCTGGCAGAGACCGGTGCCGAGCACTCGTTCCCAAGATGCACGGAGGGACTCGCCCTGGTCATGCAAAACAGAGATCGAGAGAGACTGGCAGCGGAGAGCAATGTCAAGGCATGGCTTGCCTGGCTGATGAGAGAAGGACGGACACACGGACTGCGCATTCCATCGCCGGACGAGCGCCCGCGGGCGGTCGGACTGGTAGGGCGCGGCGCCTCCCTGGGCATCAGCGGCAGGCAGCTGCATGACGCCGTCGGCATACACTTCGACCCCCGCTGCCTGCAACGCAGAATAGTGAGCGTCATCCTTGCCTGGAGTCGAAACGAGCCGCTCCCCGGCCGGCAGCAAAGCGCCCCCTGCGACGACCATATCCGGGCGGCCTGGAGAGCAGCTCGCACCTTCGCCACAACACACTGCCCGTGGGCGCCACTCAGGGACCCCCCCATCTCTGATGATGTCCTGCGGTCTCTACACGGACAGGGCCCCCACTACGACAGTCCGCCGTTCCCCTAGACTCAGGACAAGATTTCGGGACGGTTCACGGAGCCCCGGGGTCGCCCAGAGGGCAAACCTTGGTACCGAGCGCCCGCGCGCGCGCCTGGCAGCTCGCCTACAGCGCGGGGACAGGGTTCTGAGGACCCTGGCCCAACGCTGTAGTCGCACTTTTCGGCGCCCTCGGACCCTCTGGGCTTTGCTGCGCAGCGATCCTTGGAGCAATCCCACGTGGGCCGACTTATGCGCCGCCTTCAACGCGCGGGACCTCGTCGACGCTCTCGCGGTGGCCAACATCGGAGGGGCGCCTCGAGTGGCCTGCTGGAACGTGCGCTACCTCAGAAGCACAACCGCACACAATAATCAGATCAAGCACGCTGTACTAACCCAGATGACAAGCAATGGCCGGATTGGTCGGGTCCCTGCCTGAATCGTGGATTGCCATGGTCCTGGTCAGTTCTCAGGCATCGACGGCCCTGTTCGGGATGGTGTTGGGCTCACCTGATCCGGTGGCTCAGGCGTGGAACGGTGTCGATCACATCCACCGTTTCCCTGGCTACTTCGCTGGACCGCCCGGGGCCACCCCGAGGGCGGTTGCATGCAGGATCAGTGCTCCCTTCAGGAGTCCTGGTGTGCGAGTGTGGTGGCGCCACCCGTTGCCCCAGTTCGCGGGCAGTTGGGTCTCCTGGGACGGACGCAGCGTACTGGTGGTGGTCTTCCTGGCCACATCCTGGTACTTTGTCAGGCGGTTGTGCGTCGCAGCGGCCCCGCCAGCTCGAGCCCCTGGTCTTCCAGCTCCCTGGCCCGACTCCATCGTCGGCGCATGGAGTTTTTGGCGCGCACGTGGTGCAGCCTGTGCTCTCCTGGCTGTCGGATGACTGTGTTGACTACGTCCACGGTTTCCCGGCGGCGATGCCTACGGCACTCTCGTGTTCGTTCGACCCCATGCTGAGACGTGGATTTCCCTGGTCTTTGGCAGCTCTCAGACGTCGGCGACCTGTTCGTGAGTGCGCTTGGCTTTGATCCGGTGGTTCAGGCGACTACGGTGCCAACTACAGCCATCGTTATCCTGGCCACTTCGCGGGCGGCCCGGTACCACTCCGCGGACGGCTGTATGGAGGATCTTACTCCCTCCAGGAGTCTCGGTGTGCGATGGTGGCGCCACCCTACGCACCAGTCTTTGGCCAGTATGGTCTCCCGGTAGCTTGCAGTGTACCAGTGGTGGTTTCGGCCACACCCTGGTACCACCCCCGCGCCATTCTGGCTGCGCCCCAACCCCGGTTGGCTAATCGTGCATGTGCGCGCTCCTGCTTGGCACTGTGCCTGGTATCTGGCAGGTGCAGCCCGCACCCCCCTCACGCCGGGCCGCTCGCTTAGGTATTTTTTAGGCCGTCGGCCCGTCGGCGCTTGGCAATTAGTCTCTCGCGCGGCCCGCTTGGACCTTACTCGCCGCCGGCGCTCTCACCTGCGGCTGCTAACCAAAAAATATTCCCACCAGCCCATCCAGAAACGCTGCCCAAGAGAGCCGACGGGGAAAAGGACGAAGAGACACAGAAAGTGAAACGAAGCGGGCGATCAGGATGAACAGGGGAATCTCTGGACGCAAGAGGATGGACTTGAAGAGCCTCTTCGGTCTGTCCTGGGGCCCGCGGGAGGGCGAGGTGAGGAGGAGGAAGAGGAGGAGGAGGAGGCGGAGGAGGAGGAGGCGGAGCAGGAGGAGGAGGAGGAGGAGGAGGAGGAGGAGGAGGAGGAGGAGGGCGAGGACGAGGACGAGGACGAGGAGGAGGAGGAGGAGGAGGAGGAGGAGGAGGAGGAGGAGGGAGGAGGAGGATGAGAAGGAGGAAATGGAGGAGGAAATGGAGGAGGAGGAGTCAAACCGCGTCTACCGGGGACGCTCTTGGGGCTCTCTTGGTCGCTCTCGGGGTTGGGCCGCCCCGCCAGCCAATCCAGACACGATGCCCAGAGAAGGTGCCCTGAACGGGGAACGTGGCATCATTTAGAGAAATCGGGTGCCCGTGTGGGTCAGTTACCCCGTGGATGCTTCTTTGGGTCTCGTGGGGTGCTTCTTGAGGGTCTCTTTGAGGCGTCTTCGGGCGTTTTGAACACCTTTTTGCTGGCTCGTGGGGAGCTTATTTGAGCATCTTAGGTGCTCTTGGAGCCCTCTTCAAACATTTTGGAAGCGATTGGGTCCCTCTTGGGGCCCTCTTTTGAGCCTCGGAAGCCTTCTTGGCACCATCTTGGAGGACATCGATCAAGGAAGGGGAGTTCTTGAATTGGCGCTGCCCTTCTAGAGCCCCCTAACATCGCCTCTTGGGGCTCTCTTGGGGCGCTCTTGGGGCGTATGTTGGGCGCTCTTTGAGCCTTCTTGTGCCTTTCGTGGGTCTCTCTGGGGCCCATTTGGGGCCATCTCGAGGCCTCGGACGGCGATCGGAAGCGAATCGGCGTGAAGGCCAAACACATTGAATTTCCGTGGGTTCTGGACTGATTTTGCCCTATTGGGGGCGTCCGGGGGGCCCCCAAGGCTACTTGGACCTGTCCTGGAGCTCTCTTGGTACCTCTCGGAGTATGTTGGAAACCATCTGGAGCGATCTTGCACTATCTTGGACCATCTTGGAGGACAGCTTAGACTGAGGCCCTCTTGTAGCCCTGGGCCATCTTGGACGGTTTATCTACCCGCCGCCCTTCCTCCCCAGATCCAGGGGTACGGGGTAGGGAGGAGTCAAGCTACTTCAAGCCGCAAGCCGTGTCGCTCACTCCCACCCGCCCTCCCATCATATAAGTCGCACCCGAGTCTGAGCACAGGCAGGGCCGCCATCGACAACTATCGGGAACCAGCCCAGACGCCAGCCAGGTGCGCGATGCCCGCGAGGTGCGCTGCACGCGTCAGGTGCGCCACGCGCACCAGGTGCACCACATTGGGCAATATGTCGACCGCCCCATAATCCCTGTCAAAAACCCCTGCAACATGACGGTGGGGTTTCGAGCATTGTGTGTGTGTGTGTTGTGTGTGTGTGTCTGTGTGTGTCTGTGTATGTGTATGCGTATGTGTGTGTGTGTGCGTGTGTGTGTGTGCGTGTGTGTGTGTGTCTGTCTGTAGCATTTTGGCGCCATCTGGCTCACGCGAGAAACGCCAACGTACGTGCCTGACCGAACCACCTATTCCTCGAGTTCGCCTTTGAGACGTGCACGCCACGATGGCCCAGAAGGCGCCTGTCCGAGTGTGCTTGCTGATCCCTCTCCTCGTCCACGGCGTCTGCGGCACGACCGCAGCGGCGGAGGTCAACTTTCAGCAGGATGACACCGTGCTCCTGCAGCTCGGCACGGACGCCACGAGCTTCGACCTCGCCCGCGTCAGTCCCGTAAGGGCGTGCCCGTGACCTCCATGGTGCTCCACGTGACAACGCCAAGTCGAGGCGGCTGACCACATGGATGGGGCCCTGGAGCCAGTTGGGGCAGGACATCGATGGCGAAGCCTCCGACGCTGAACGCCAGCCAGCAGAACGCAGACAACGCCAAGTCGAGGCGGCTGCACCACATGGTGCTGGGACAAGTTCAGGTCACGTTCGCGTCTTCGGGCTTGGAGCCAGTTGGGGCAGGACATCGATGGCGAAGCCTCTTACGATCGCTTTGGCTCGTCGGTGTCGCTGAGCAGCGACGGCAGCCGCGTGGCCATTGGAGCGTCCTACAACGACGGTGCTGGGTCAAATTCAGGTCACGTTCGCGTCTTCGGGCTTTCGGGCAGCACATGAAGCCAGTTGGGGCAGGACATCGATGGCGAAGCCTCTGACGATCACAGTGGCACGTCGGTGTCGCTGAGCAGCGACGGCAGCCGCGTGGCCATTGCAGCGAAGTACAACGACGGTGCTGGGACAAGTTCAGGTCACGTTCGCGTCTTCGGGCTTTCGGGCAACACATGGAGCCAGTTGGGGCAGGACATCGATGGCGAAGCCTCTGACGATTACAGTGGCTCGTCGGTGTCGCTGAGCAGCGACGGCAGCCGCGTGGCCATTGGAGCGGCCAACAACGACGGTGCTGGGCCAAATTCAGGTCACGTTCGCGTCTTCGGGCTTTCGGGCAACACATGGAGCCAGTTGGGGCAGGACATCGATGGCGAAGCCTCTACCGATTACAGTGGCACGTCGGTGTCGCTGAGCAGCGACGGCAGCCGCGTGGCCATTGGAGCGAAGTACAACGACGGTGCTGGGAGAAGTTCAGGTCACGTTCGCGTCTTCGGGCTTTCGGGCAACACATGGAGCCAGTTGGGGCAGGACATCGATGGCGAAGCCTCTGACGATTACAGTGGCTCGTCGGTGTCGCTGAGCAGCGACGGCAGCCGCGTGGCCATTGGAGCGGCCAACAACGACGGTGCTGGGCCAAATTCAGGTCACGTTCGCGTCTTCGGGCTTTCGGGCAACACATGGAGCCAGTTGGGGCAGGACATCGATGGCGAAGCCTCTACGATTACAGTGGCACGTCGGTGTCGCTGAGCAGCGACGGCAGCCGCGTGGCCATTGGAGCGAAGTACAACGACGGTGCTGGGAGAAGTTCAGGTCACGTTCGCGTCTTCGGGCTTTCGGGCAACACATGGAGCCAGTTGGGGCAGGACATCGATGGCGAAGCCTCTAACGATAACAGTGGCTGGTCGGTGTCGCTGAGCAGCGACGGCAGCCGCCTGGCCATTGGAGCGAGCCACAACGACGGTGCTGGGTCAAGTTCAGGTCACGTTCGCGTCTTTGGGATCGAGGCACCGACGCCGGTGCCTTCGCCAGCGCCGCCTGCAGCGACTGCTGCTGCAGTCGGGGATCCCCACCTGGTAAATATGTACGGGGAGCGTTTTGATCTCCTTAAGGTCGGCAAACACTTGCTGGTCGAGGTCCCACAGTTTGCAGCGGAGAGCGCGACGCTCCTGGCCGTCGCGGCCGTGGCACAGCGTTTGGGCGACGCCTGCTCGGACGTTTACTTTGTGTCCCTCAATGTGACCGGCAAGTGGGCGGACGGCGTGCGCGAGGGCGGCTTCCATTACACGGCCAAGCAGCCGCAGGCTCACAGAAAAGGAACGGGCTGGCTGAGCTTCCACAGCATTCAATTGAAGACCGTATGGGGCCGTACTGGCGGAGGCATTTCCTACCTGAATCTGTTCGTCAAGAACTTGGGCAAGTCGGGGTATCCAGTCGGCGGTTTGCTTGGCGGTGGGGACCACTCGTCTGTGACCAAGCAAGTTTTGCGCTGCAAGCGCGAATTGGTCCTATAGATGGTCTTCTTTTCACAAATTGTTGACGCTTCGCGTATCCCCACCAGCCCATCCAGAAACGATGCTCAGGGGAGTTGAGGTGATCAGGGAAGTCGGGGAGCATGCAGAAGAACAAAGGGCGGGGGAAGCTGTCACAGACCCCGAGAGGGGGAGGATGGAAGAGGAGTCGTCGTCGTCGTCGTCGTCGTCGGAGGAGGAGGAGGAGGAGGAGGGGGAAGAGGAGGAGGAGGAGGAGGAGGAGGAGGACGGAGAAGGAGGAAGAATCGGAGGAGGAGGAGGAGGAGGGGAAGGAGCTTCTTGGGGGTCTTTTGAGGGCCTCTTGGAGGGCTTTTTGGGCGCCTTGGGGCATCTTGGGCGCCTCTTGGGACCCTCTTGAGGCGCTCTGGGGAGCCTTCGGGGCGCTTTTGGGGCCATCTTGGAGGGAGTCGATCAAACAAGAGGGGGGGTTTAATTAGCGCCCCCCCTCGGAAGCCCCTAAAATCGCCTCTTGGACCCCTCTTGGAACGCTCTTGGAGTGCTCTTGGGCGCTCTTGGGGCCGTCTTGGGGCTCTTTTGGGGCTCTCTTGGGGCCCTCTTGGGCCATCTTGGAGCCATCTCCAGGCCTCGGATGGCCATCGGAAGCGAAAAGGCGAGAAAGCAAAAATCATTGATTTTCCTTAGGTTTTGGGACGATTTTGGCCTCTTCGGGGCCTCCTTGGGGAGCTGTTTGGCCACTTGGAGTTATCTTGGGGCCGTCTTTGGGCTTCTTGGAACCATCTTAGGAGCCATCGTGAGCGATCTTGCGCTATCTTGAGCCATCTTGGAGCTCATCTTGGGTTCTCTGAGGCGCTCTTGGAGCCGTCTTGGGCCATCTTGGACGCTCTAACTACCCGCGGCCCCCCCCGTCCAGGTCCAGGGGAGGGGGTAGGGGGAGGGGTAAACCCCTCCCCAAGGGGGAAGAGGGAGGGGTGGAAGAGGATCTGCTCTAGACCACCTACGCCCAGAGGGCTGGTGGGATTACTTGCTATGGGGCCGTGAGGATTGCCACGGCCTCTGTTAAGGGTTAATATTACTCTCGGATAGGAACTCGTTAATCGTGAAGATAATTAATTTTTGTGTGGTGTCACAGTGTAGTGTCGAGAACCCTTGCGTGCGACTTTACAGTCTGACACTACACTAAGATTAGTGTGGTGTCATAGTGTAGTCTCGAGAACCCTTGCGTGTGACACTACCGTATGACACTGTACTAAGGTTAGTGTGGTGTCATAGTGTAGAGTCGAGAGCCCTTGCGTGCGACACTACAATATGACACTACACTAGGGTTAGTGTGGTGTCATAATGTTGTGTCGAAAACCCTTGCGTGTGACACTACAGTGCGACACTACACTAAGGTTAGTACGGTGTCATCGTGTGGTGTCGAGAACCCTTGCGTGTATCACTACAGTATGACACTACACTGAGGTTACTGTGGTGTAATCGTATAGTGTTGGGGACACCGGGGTGCGACACTACTCTATGACACTGCACTATGGCCGAGGAGGGGGGCAGAGTTTTTTCCGCTCCGCGAGAGGGTGCTCTACGCTACGGTCACTGTGGTGACATCGTATAGTGTTGGGGACACCGGGGTGCGACACTACACTATGACACTACACTACGGCTGAGGAGATGGGCTGAGTTTTCCTGTCTGCTGTTCCGTAAGGTTTTTGAATGGCTCCGTTCCGCGAGAAAGGTCTCTACGCTACGGCTATTGAGGTGTCACAGTATAGTGTTGGGGGCACCGGGGTGCGACACTACACTATGACACTACACTACGGCTGAGGAGAGGGGCTGCGTTTTTTTTTGCCTGCGTTCCGTAGGGTTTTTAGCTGGTTCCGCTCCGCGAGAGAGAAATCAACATTACGGTTACTGTGGTGTCACACTATAGTGTTGGGGACAATGGGGTGCGACACTACACTATGACACTACACTACGGCTGAGGAGAGGGGCTGATTTTTTTGTTTTGCCTGCTGTTCCGTAGGGCTTTTCATTGGCTCGGCTCCGCGAGAGAGAACTCTACGCTACGGTTACATACTGCGGTGTCATAGTATAGTGTTGGGGGCACCGGGGTGCGACACTACACTATGACACTACACTACCGCTGAGGAGGGGGGGGGCAGAAGAGTTTGTTTTACGCTTGCTGTTCCTTAGGGTTTAGCTTGGCCCGGCTCCGCGAGAGAATGCTCTACGCTACGGTTCGTGTGATGTCATAGTGTAGTGTTGGAGGCACCTGGGTGCGACACTGCACTATGACACTACACTACGGCTGACACTACACTACGGCTGAGGCTGAGGCGGTTGAGGAGGAGGAGGAGGAGGAGGAGGAAGAGGAGGAGGAGGAAGAGGAGGAGGAGGAGGAGGAGAAGGATCACGATAATGAAAAGGATACTGTACATATAACGGGGGACTGGGTCCGGGGGCCGGGGGCCAGGACCACGACCACAAATGTGGGGCCAGGGCGTCGTTTTCCTTGTGTTTTTTACGGAGTTTCGGCGACCTGGGGCCAACAAGGCCCCAAGAGGCTGCAGGGAGTCCCCAGGAGGCCGCAGCGATGGCTCCAGACGCCTTTCAAGACGACTCCCATGACGCCAAGAAGTTCAAGAAGGCCCCCGAAGACGCCCCAAGAGGCACCCCGAGAGAGGCCAAATAAGCCAAAATAGTAGATTTCGTATGGGGAAGCCAGTTTTTGTTGGCGTGTTCGCCTTTTGGGCGTCCACTGCGTCCAAGACGGCCCAAGAGGCCCCCAGAGGGGCTCCAAGACGATCCCAAGAGGGTCTTAAGACGGCCCGAGAAGACCCCAAGACAGCCCAAGAGAGCCCCAGGACGAGCCCCAGAGGGGTCCCAGAGGTTT